ATATATATATATATATATATGAAAGCAAGGACTTTGAGCTATTTGCATAAGGTAAGTCTGTGAGACAACTGTATATACATAACAGGAAGTGTATGTGGATGTTTAATGCTGAAAGTTGAGTTTGGTTGGTCTGCTTCTCTATACTGCTATGGTTTGGCAACAGATATTTGCCAGTCCAGGAAAGGTAAAGACATGCCATGTCACTGCTTTGATCACAGTACAACTGGCAACATTCACATATTAAGATAAAAAGGCTCTAATGCATTTATATGGCCCACATTACTGAGAGGCACTCAAATACTGCAGTCTTCAGTGGATTTAGAATAGCACTGCCCAGCCTCTGTGGTGGTGTGATTATCCCTCATTTTATAGATGCAGAACTGAAGCACAGCAAGCCCAAAGACACACAAAGCCAGTGGAGAAGGAAAAAGAACATGGGGCTCCCAAACCCAAGCTAGCACCCTAAATACTGGGCCAGATCTCCTCCCTTTAATATTCAGGCTCAAACACTGTTAAGATTAAGATCCTTGCATTTGATTAGCTTTTAAACTCAAGCCCAACTACAATTTAAGACTTTATTTTATTTACAGTGAGGAAGTTATGGCCTGCAGGCCAGATCTGGGCTCTGGCTTGTCTTGATCTGGCTGGCAAAATTTGGAGGTCCCCTCCCAATCTGCAGATGTGTGTGTGTGTGGGGGGGGACATCCCTGAGCCTCGCGGACTGGATTCAGGCAAGCTGCTGGCTGGATGTGGCTGGCTCCGCCTAGTGGGGAAAGGAAGCAGCTGTGTGCCAGAAATGGTAGCACAGGGAAGTCCCATCCCATGCAGCCAGAGATTGCTCAAATGCCAGGAGTTTGAGACCCCTATGCTATTGCACATGACATACCTATCAACTTTGCAGATACTGAACCAATCCCTGGAGTTATGACTATGACACAGAATATAGAGCTCATTCTGAGCAAAATCACAGCATTTTAGCCACCAAGATGACAGCAATGATTCATGGAGTGGCAAAAACCACACAGAAGATAAAAAGTGAGGTGTGCTTACAAAGGTGTTCTACCAATTGGGCAGCAGTTTATATTCAACAGCAATCTAGGAAAGCATCCTCAGAAGTACTGAGTATGTGATTAGACAATTTTTTTTGGTCTGGTAGAGTCTCATATATGGGGAAAGTCAGAATGCAATATCCTCCAGTAATTTCAGGTTAACTATAAAGTAAGTACAATACAAAGGGCATTACTACTTTTTTTTTTTTTTAAAGCCTGCATCAACAATCCAATCACTGAGATTTTTCCAGTCTTTTGCTCTTTGAAACAGAACTTTAAAGTTGGCAAGCCATTATTGGCTTCTCTCATGCATTCACCATTTAGAGAGGTCTCTATTCTATTCCATCATGTTAAATAGGTTTGGTGGTCTCACCACTTACCTCCAGGTTTCCTCTGTTTCCAACAGTTGTTGAAACATTGCTTCTGCCATCTCTTTACGTATCTGCACTTCAAGAAGGAGTTTACTCTGCCTTTCTGTTACTAGCTTCTCCTTCAGGTTCTCAGTAATTTTCAAGAGCTCCTGGATTTAAAATACTTCACTTCAGAAAGCAAGCTAAAAGCAGTAGTAGCATACAATTTAAATTTAAAAAAAGTGTTATACACCAGGTAATGGTGTTCATAAAAGCCACAACTACCTATCCACTATCAAATCACATCTCAGAGGTTCAACCTGTACAAGCATAATGTTTTCTTAACAGAATGTTCTTTCAAACCAGTGGTTGAGTTGTTAACCATGTTGTAGCTTAATGACAATTCTTCACTTGGAGATTAAAGGCTGCTTTATGTTGCTAAATTATTAAAAAACTTTGCTACCAAGTTATTAAAGATTAGGCTGTTTGTAAATTATCTGAAAATTGGCTACAGAGCCAGTAGAAAGAGGCTGCATTTCTTCTACATTTGCATTTTTAGCAGTTTCTAGCATTCTAAAGAAAAGGTTTAAGGGAAACTCAAATCTGAAAATATTTACTGCGGAAGTTACTTTATAGTTTCTGCTTTCACCTTGGTATTTAATTGCCAAAAGATGCTAGGTTTACTGATTCATTCATATTAAGACCAGAAGGACCCTTATGATTATCTGGTCCAGTGATACTCAGACATCAGTGCTTCTTCAGAAGCCAAATAAGCAATCGACGTTACGGCTACGTCTAAACTGGCATGATTTTCCACAAATGCTTTTAACGGAAAAGATTTTCCCTTAAAAGCATTTGCAGAAAAGAGCGTCTAGATTGGCACGGACGATTTAGGCAAAAGCACTTTTTGAGGAAAAGTGTCCGTGCTAATCTAAACGCGGTTTTGCGCAAAAAAGCTCCGATCGCCATTTTCGCCATCAGGGCTTTTTTGCGCAAAACAGTTTTTAGCTGTCTACACTGGTCCTCTTGCGCAAATGCTTTTGCGCAAGAAGGCTTTTCCCCCCGAGCGGGAGCAGCATAGTATTTGCGCAAGAACACTGACAATCTTACATTGAATCATCAGTATTCTTGTGCAAATTCAAGTGGCCAGTGTAGACAGCTGGCAAGTATTTCCGCAAAAGCAGCTGCTTTTGCGGAAACACTTGCCAGTCTAGACACAGCCCAACTGAAAGGCCCACAGTAGTGGGAATTCACTGGCTCATTTACTATAAAACTATATATTAGGGATGCTAAAATATGGTTAAGTAAAGTGTAACTGGTGAAGTTCTCAGCGGTTACACGGTTACATGCAAGGCTGCAGTCAGCTCCTCAGGAGCCAGTGTGTGCAGGGAGCTGGCTTTCAAGCGGATTCCTCATGTGCACTGCCTCCTGTCTGCCCCCCACCCCCGTGCTACTGCCTCTCTCTGCCACCATCCCCTAGCTCCCACTAGGTGGAAAGGGGCAGGGCTTAGGGGGAAAAAGGGTGGAGCAAGGGCAGGGAATGCCAAGTAAAATAGCTTAGAGAAGCCCAGGTATATTGTTGTGACATGGCATTCCATATACTTTAAACAAATATGCTTATTATATTAATGTTACAACTGAAATAGGTTTTATTCAAAATGGTTCATGTAAGAAATCATTTGAAAGGTTATGCCTTACTGAATAGGATTATCCCATTCATATACCTGTATCATTTTTGTAGATGAAGTTATGAATACAGATCTGCGTATTTGTTAAAAACATTAACCTCATTTCCTTCATGTCTTCATGCCTATACGACCACAGAATGTTGACTTAAAGTAAGCAATTCCAGCTACATTAACATCATAAATGGGTAGAAGTACCTTAGGTCAAAATAAGCGTAGGATCTACATGGCGGGGGGCTGACGAGAAAAACCTTCCCATCAACTTATCTTACTCTTCTTGTTGGTGACAGAGTACAGAGATCAACTTCAGAGTGATCTGTGGTTGCACTGGTGGTCTTCACTAGACCCACTAAATTCACTGCCCATGGATTGATCCACCCTACTGTAGGAACTGATGCTGGGAGATGTAACCCAAGATAGCTTTGTTAAAATGATCTGAAGAGGTTTTAAAGACATGTTTATAAAGTTCCCAAGGAAGAAAATAGCTATTTCAAAATAATTAGTGCTGTGTTTTAACAAAATAAAACTTCTGCTTCCTTACTTTTCTTCTTGTATAGAGATGGTGCTGGGGGGAGGGGGAGAACTGGCTTTTAAGCTAGTTCCTCCCAGCACCGACTCCTGGGAGAGGGGGGCGGGAAGGAAGCAGTTGATACTCCACTCAACTACACAATAAGCTTATGCTTATCCGGTAGTCAACTACTCGCTAATATCCCTAGTCTCATTTCTATTCTACTTAGCCTTTTAAAATTAAGGTGGGTCATCCTACCATCCCAAACCATTTTAAAATTAGACTGAGCAGGAAGTCAACCTTTCATGTTAGACAATGTTACTTCTCCTATGGTTTGATTATATTGACTGAAATTGAATGTAGCCAAAGTCAAGACTACACAGTATGCATGACTAAATAGATTTTAACTACCTCGTGGGTCATGATGGTGATGTCCACTTCCTCTTCAGAGGAGAAGGTATCGATATCTTCATCAGGAAGTTCTTCAGAAAATATGTTGGCATCAAAATGTACTATAGGCTTGCCATCCTTCCCAAGTAATCTTGGGGCAAAATATTCAAAGGTTTGGGAGTGGATTGTCTGAGTAACCTGAAAATTAGTCATAAAATAACATGTACTGTGAGGGGAAAATGGTGTTTCTTTCTGGCATAAATATAAGGAGCTACATCAAACCATCTAAAGAATCTGTTATAATACATGTACGTTCAGGACAGAAGTTTAATCCTATTGTCCCTCAGTTTTTATTTACTAAAACAAGATCCTTTTTTTTTTTTTTTTTTTTTCAGGTTTTTTCCAACTTTTTTTAAGGTTGCTATTATTCGGTATCTAAGCAGATATCAGAACAATTTCCAAAACTAGAGATCTTGTTTAGGATATTGGTTATAAGAAACTAGAGAATGCCTCTTCTTACTGCACCTCTTAAATCTGCTGATAAAAAGTTTGGGGACAAATTATCAGCTTGTGCAATTCATGTATTTAAATATTCATAAATTGAGCACATGTGCAGTATGTAATTTAACTATTTGCATATCTACAGATGGTATAACATGGGTAGCTCTCTGTCTGGTCACACTAAGTAACTGCACACTAACAAAGGAATATAATTCTATGTATCTGACTAGAAAAAAAATTATTTCAAGAAGGTTAAGACTATTAAAAACTTTGAAAAAAACAAAAACAAAAACCCAATATAATATGTAGGGGATAGTGTGGTAATATAAGATAAGCCCAAAAGAAACAAGCCAGATGTTCTTCAAATCATAAAGTCTTACATACACAAACCATATGATCAGGAGTTTGTGTGTGTCAGTCAACCTAGGCAATTCACAAGTTAAGTGTAATAGTGCTTCAGGAGAAGTAGACTTCTACTTACCTGTTTGGCTATAGCAGAAAATTTCATTACATGTAATGTCTCATTGTGAGTGGAAGCGCACTGATTAACATTGACAATCATACAAGCTTTGCCTTTACCACAGAAGAATGGTTGAAAGAGGCGGGTGAGTTTACTCTCTCGGAATGGAATATAGCTTGGTTTCACTCTTAAAAAAAGAAATTGTACAATTTCCATGAAGAAATCTGAGCAAGTCATAATAGCAGATGCATAGCTGACCAATACATTTTCTAAAGTTATGCTGAGGAAACATGTACTTTTCCATAAAAACACCCAAGTTTGAATGCAACGTCCCTGAACATGTTCCCAAATTAGGGATGTTAGATACTGGGTGACAGAATAGTTGAGTAACTGCATGAATTCTTATCAGTTACTTGACTATTCTACAGTCCCAGGGCGAGGGGCGGCAGCCAGTGCACTCAGGCTCCACTCCTGGGGAGCCTCCTGCCACCTCACGCTGCTGCTTCAGAGGCAGCAGTGCAGGGTGCTAGGCAGGAGCTGGTCTGCAAGGGGAGACAGTTTAAAAGCCGGCTCCCCACTCAGACCTGCTGCCTGCCACCCCGTGCTGCTGCCTCTGATACAGGGGCAGCAGTGCGGGATGGCAGCAGCCCCTGTCCGTGAGGAGCTTGGACCCCCTCGTAGACATGGGCTGCTTTACAGCAGAGGCAGCAGTGGGGGAGGGACAGGTGGCACTGCGAGCTGGTGCTGGGGGGTGGGGCGCATGCAGATCTGGCTTTTAAGCTAGCTCCCCCAGCACCAGCTCCTGCTTCCCCATCACCACCCTTGCTGCCTCTGACACAGAGGCAGCAAGGGGGGCATGCGAGTGGTTGACAAGATTAACCAATAAACCTAGAACTATTGGTTAATCGTCTAGTTGACTACTGTTGACATCTCTATCCCAAATAGTGTCCAAGGAAATGTTTATGGCAGATATTTTTTAAAAGTCAAGAAAAAAAAAGGGGGGGGATATGGACAAGAAATCTGCCTTTGGCGAAGTTCATACCATTCATAAAAAGGAGATACTTGAATCTTACGTCAAGTACAGTCTTGTTTCTAATTTGTTGAGTGACTCTACTTACACAGACTGAGAAAAATCTACACTTAAAAATAATTGGTTGTTTGCAGTCTGAAATTCACAGGTTTTGCAGTTTAATGTCTTTTCTACCACATTCCCACATAAAAGATATTTGTTAAGTGAACCACTGTGCAAGTTTACAGAATCACTTCAGTGCTGTGCACTGCACGGTTAGTCTTTTAGCTGAACTAAAATGCAAGTTACTATTTTAAGTCTTCTCACTTACTTAGGATTCTGATTCAGCTTCAGTGCTGCCATGCATTTCCCAAGAATAAAAAGAGAATTATTAATATTCCCTGCTTCTTTTAGTCTGTCTCCAAAGGCTTGTGTTTTATTGCACCGTTCAGACCCAGCCAAGTCACAAAGAGACATTCTAAATGAAAGAATTAATCAGTAATGTAAATATTGTATAATTTTAACACTGTTTATTTTTGGATAAGTCGGTGTGATAAAAACCACTAAATCTTAACATTTCTGGATATACATTCAAGAGTCACAGTACAGAATACCTTATTTTTAATGTTTGATCGTTCAGTGGCTTTTGGCAAACAAAATGCAAGAAACAGTTTTTTATTGAAGGGAAGGCTTTGTACAAAGACCAGAGTAGGTCATCAGTTAATCATCAGATAATATAGCTACAGTTAAATACACTGCAATAGCTTAAATACTGTAATTACTATTTCCATATTCCACAGAGTTAGTCAAGTCAACATCATAGCTCTTTTTTTTTTTTTTTTTTTAACAACAATGGAAACAGGTGCATTCAGTACATTTATCCAATTTTTTAGTACCAGTATTCATAGGAACCCAAATCTCAATGTAGGACTATTCTAACAACAACTTGACCTCAAATGAGTGCTACCAATGCACTTTCTCTTAGAAGAGAAAAACCTGTTAGAAGTACTTGGATCATTATCGTAGTCAATTTCAGTACTGCATGAACTTATTCCTGGGGAAATTCTGCACTGCTGTGCATGCACACAATTCATATCCCCCACAGATTTCTTTGCTTTCCCACAGAAAAATGACTTTGACAGGGAAACAAAGGGAAGCTGTAAGAGCAGTCATGCACCACTCCCTAAAAGTGCAGGTGCATCATTTCAAGCATGAGGAGCAGCTGATGGAGGGGTAAATCACTGTAGGGCTCAGGATACCGGACCAGTGACCTCTACCCTGTACTTGGATCAGCTGGAAAGCTGTAGGAAGAAGAGGGTCACTGTACAGAAAACTACTCCCCCATCCACACCTGTAAATCTGGACCTCCAATACCTAAACACCCCTGCCAAGTGTTACCCAAGCACATCCAAAACTCACCTAGCCCTCTATACCCAAACTTCACCCCACCAAACCACAACCCCTGCTTCTAGACTCCTCTTTCCTGCACACAAACCATCCCCCAGAGCTTCCTGAACCCAAACCCCCAACCTGAGGAATTCCTCCCCATTGCAACACTCTGAGCCCCCACATCCAGACCCCACCCCTTAACTAGCTACACCCAGACTCCTACTCCATCAGAGCCCAAACACAGACCCCTCTATTGAGCCCCCACCATCTTCACTTGGAAGCCCCTACAGATGGTCACAATGCCCCTGCACCCTGAAACCCCAGCCCCCAACAAGCCTCTGTGCATCTAGATCTCCCCACTGAGCGGTTTGCAACCAGATTTTCCTCATACAGAATGCTCTCACCCCATACCTGGATCTCTCCACACTAAGCCCCTTTCCACTTGGATCCTGCCTGCCTGATACCCAGCACAAAGTGCAGGACCCAAGGGTGTTTCTGGGGCAGGCCCAGACTTTATGCTACATCACAAATGGATGCAGCCTTACCTCTGAGTGTACTGGGGGTGGGGGGTAAATGGGAGGGTTTCAGGGTCATCTCTTACCTTCCAGCCAGTGGCCAGTGCTCCTGATTGCCATGATGGAGACTCTGCATTTATTTACTGACAAATAAAACTTCCAGAATTTTAAAATAGTGTACAGAATTTAATTTTTCAGGGCAGAATGCCTTTAAGGATAACAGCTGCCTGGAAATACTAGTGCAGAGTATTAGTAATAAAATGCAGATACTTTTTGGATGCAGAGTAGTTTGTTTCTGCAGCTTCCAACAGGTGTGCAAAGGACAGGAGTTCCCCACAGACTGACCTATATAGCCATGTGTCAACACTGGACAAAGGCAGCATTATATGCTACCAAAATTTGAATTAGGCTAATGATCTGCCCTCACATGGCCCACCAGAATGCTTAGAGAAATATTTGTCCCAAGATAACTAACTACATTAAAAACTGCATTACAAGGACATTATTTTAGGTTACAAAGTCAAGTACATTTGGGCATGTCAAAACTTTTAAGTAGATTGCCCATGCAATCTATGCCTATGCAAATTTTAGACATTTACATGTATATGACTAATTACATGATCATACTATGTTCACAAGTACGTCATTCAATATACAAGAGGGATGGCTGCTCAGGGTATGATGCAGTTGTACACTAATCAAAGTATGCAGGCAAATACAGAACCAGGAGTGGAGAGCTGTATGGGCCCATGGGGGTTGTGCTCCACAAGCATAAGAGCACAGGGGTCTGGCTCCAATGAAGTTCAGGGCTAGGTCTCCCGCACTGGCCCCACCTGCCACTGCCACCCCTACATACCTTCCCCCCAGCTCTGTCTGCCTCTCCAAGGCCATTTAAAAAGGGTATGGGGCCCTACTCCCACCACTGGCACCATAGCAGGGCTAAAGTGGCTTCCTGACTGCCCACTCCACTTCCAAATCCAGAAGTGGCTGCCAGCATGTCTCTGAGTCCCTTGGGAGGGGCAAAAGTAATGTGTCTTTCCACACCCCCCCTGCTCTGAGCACTCCTGCAGCCAGTGCACACCACCCCTGCTCTGAGCACTCCTGCAGCCAGTGGAAGATGCAAGTCACTTAACAGGAGCTGCACCAGGTAAGCACTACACCCTTCATTCCCCTGCCCACATCTAAACTCTGTCCCCAATCCCGCACCTGACTCCAATCCCTCCCCCCCCCCCCCCCACACCCCCCCCCACACACC